CTGAGAATCGAACTCAGTGCCTTTCTCTCCAAACGCCATCGTGTTATCCACATAGTTGCTGAGTTTAGATCGGCACTCACCTGTGCAATGGGTTGAATAATCATTTATTGAAAATGCTTGTTTGAATCTTTCAGTCGATGTGTGCATTTGTTATGTCCTCATATCTTATACTTCCAATTCATATCCTTGTTTATTTGGTTTTATTAAAACATGTGAAACATTGTTTCCTGCTTTTAGTTTGATTTACTTTTCATTCAGCTGCCTAAATGGGGCTACTAATGGCGTAGCAATTCCGCAAGCTTCGAGAACCCTGATTTCGCACTTTACAGTTATTTTTGTAAGGGTGATACTCACTGATGATGAAATGAAAATTTTTTTGTTATGACTGCATCTCTATAGAGTTTACTGAGAGAAATTTTGGTGATGTTTAAAATGCGTCGTTCTGGGGATTTCCGATGAGTCGACTGCTATGACATGATCTATGTAGGAATACACGCGATGCATCATTCAATAAGAGGTTTTAGTTTCATTTACATACGTTCTTCATTTTCCTAGAATCAGTAAAAAAAATCAAGCGACATCGTTTGCAAAGTGTTATTCATGTGTATGCTCAGTTGTGTGTTTAAGCATCGGAATTTGTGACACACTTTATCAAACTGAAGTAAAACATTTACAACATGACACAGATGATCTTTCAACAATCGATAAGACTAATAAATGTCTGTTAGATTTAGTTCTTGCCTTATATGCTACATTATTGTCACGTTTGATTGAATGTGAGCAATCCTGACTAAGTTGTAATCAGCTTCAAACTATATCACATGATGCATGAAACAATTTATGTTTGTAATTTTATGTTCTTTCACACTTTATCAAACTGAAGTAAAACATTTACATCATGACGACACTGATAATACTATCAAGCGTCTGAGTTGTATTCGTGGTAAGTCAAACAGTAGTATCATCCTTGTATCATAAAAATGAATCGATTGCTCCAGGTCATAACACAACGCAACGAATTCAACAAATTTCATCGTTTCACAATGAATTTACATGTTAATGTGAGTTTATGTTAAGACAATAAAACATACTGTAAAGTTTTCACTAATTACTTTTCTTTGACACCTGAATAATTATTCGCTACGAATTAAAATTCATACTGTGTGTAGTAAATAGAAGCGATAAAGATAATGCGGTATCAAATTTGAATCAAGCATACCAACTAGTGTTATTATTTTAATTAATAACTGACTAATCAATCCCCTTCATCAATTATTCAATATTGTATGAAATAAGATGAATGAATGGTGAAGAAAATCAGCATATAACTAAGCTAATAATTATTATTGTTAATATTGTTAGTAAAAGTTTGTAGTGAATAAATTAATCGATTTGAGCATAGAATTTTATTGCATGTGAGAAATGAGAGAGAAATCAAATGGCGTTCAATAAAAATATTTATTGCATTTAAAAATACTACTCTTGATATTGACTAGGATTTTGTTAGAATAAGCTAACTGAACAGTTGTACGTGGTGATTATCAAATTAATTGTCGATTTATAATTTATGGGAACGAGCAGAAACTGCAGTGCACTTATTTGTATATCTGATGCAAATCTGAAGACGATTCTCCCATCTTTGTTATTGGGAGTGAATGATCCTAATAATTCGATCAGTTAGTATCTTTGATGAATTTATCAATCTTGTTTTGTTAGGAAATTGTCATCGTCAAGATGTGTACAACCATATTCACATTTGTTAATGTTTAGAGGGATAATTTTTTCGCATGTCAACAGAACAAATGTACAGCTGATGGCTGTAATGTGTCAAGAGTCTATATTGTCTTATAGTTAACAGTGCTTCTTATAAAACGAAATGTAGATTCATGAATGACTTGTTCATCCGAATCCGTGTTACCGCATCATAGTTATTCATTATTTTATATTAGCAATAAATTTTAAATTTTGCGGACATAACAAACCGTAGAAATCGGTTGAAATTGTGTGATATTATGACAAATAATTACTAATCGAATCGAGTTACTTGTGAACTGCGATCCGATCTTGACATTTGCAGGTTGTCAACTTTCTGATGCATGTGGAAGAAAACTATATGTTGATGCTGGATGATGCATGTAATTGTGATATGCACTCAGTCCTTACTTGACTTACTGAAATTTCCTATGTAGCTATTATGAAATAATCACATTTATTAGTCCACTATGTTCGTTGGAATCGTTTAACCGGGACTATTCATTACGTTTCATGTTTCCGAATGAAAAGAGAAAGTGATATTCAATCAAAAGTAACTTTTCACACGACTTCACATGCTTCTGTCAATAGTTAAGCTTACATCCCAATCTCAAAATGATGCAGCTCGAGTGATTTATAGGTCTGTCTATCTAGGCCGTTATAATTTAAATTTATCGAATGCGATTATTCTTAAATTAAGAGAACACACTCAACAGTAAATTCATTTTACTGTGTTTCAATTACCATAGTTCCGTACACCATATGAACCTTGATGAAATATATCTTCTAGTTACATACGTACATACATCATCAACAGTGATTGCCGTCAGTTAAGAAATTTACTTTTCCTTACTTTACATACGCCTGTTACACCGAATGAGTATAGGCCGTAAACAAGTATTCTCCAACCTACTCTGTCCTGGGATTCCTTCTCAAGTTCTTTCCACCTTTTGTTCACTCTTCCCATGTCTATCTCCGTTTCTCAGCGTCATGTGTTTGTTGCTGATGATCTCTGGCCAACGAAGTATTTTGCGTAGTCAACTTTTAGTAAATACTTGTATCTTCTGGATAATGGCTTAGGTAGTTTTCTGAGTTTCTGCAGCATATAACAAAACTGTCTTGACACTTGTATTTAAAATCCTGATTTTGGTGTTGATTGATAGTTTTTTAGAGTTCCAGATGTTGTTCAACTGTAGAAATGCAGCACTTGCTTTGTCAATCCGCGCCCTCATATCTGCATCGGATCCACCTTGATTGCCGATGATGCTGCCAAGATATGTAAAGGCTTTCACGTCCTCCAAGGCATCTGCATCAAGAATGATTTGGTTGGCGCATGTTGTGTTGCATCGAGGAATCTTGCTTTGTCTTTATGTATGTTGAGACTTATTGCTGTGAAGCTGCTGCTACACTGATTGTCTTCTCTTGTATTTCTTGTTGCGTTTGCGACAGAAGAGCCAGAATCTGTGACAAGTCCAGATCGTCAAGCTGCGTCTTAGCTGCACACTGTGTACCATGCTTCCCTCCAGATGTTGACCAATAGAAAGAGAAAGGGTGAGAGTAAGCAAGCTTGTCTGACATCAATCTTCACCTCGAACGATTCTGTCAGCTGTGCTGAGTATACGATTTCGCAGTTTAATCCATCATAAGAACTTGGTATGATGTTGACTACCTATTTTCTCAAGCAAACATAAATTTTGTTTTCTACTTGTTAAGAACCAACAGCAATTGTTTTGTTTCAGTCTCTGGTTTCACAAAAGTCCATACACAAATTACTATTTATAAATTCTAACTCCCTAAAACCAGGTTTTCCAATAGACATCATACATACAGACTATTCAGGCAATAAACCAACAATTAGAACACATAAAACACATAATTCAAACCCATAAATAGTAATAACCTAATGGATTGATCATGTCTATCGAAATGACTGAAAAAAAATTATTTTAGTCAGTGAATATTGAAATATTATGATATATGACATTTCAATATCAATGAATAGAAAGCAATCATTTCTACCATCATTTGGTCAAAACTCTGTAATTTTGATCTAAAAACTTCATTCAGCACTGAAAGATGGACAAGAGTTGATTTCTACTTCAAAATATTGTTTGTTAACAAATTGTTTGAAATAATCATTCACCGCGAATCACGTAAATCATTTATTTGTTTCATTAAATCCGTAGTTATTGGTTTATTTTTTTTTCCTCCACAAATACTAATGTACAGGCATGATGAAAATCAAAATATAATCTAATTCTAATTTCTAATTTCATTCAATGTGATAGCATTTTTCAGTGTATTTCAAATACATAAATTACAGCTCAAAAAATCTTACTATAAAAAAAAATGATGAAATATTTGTTATGTCCAAATTGTTTGATATTCGAATTTCTGATACATGTGATTTAATCTAAATTGACTTGTTTGAGTGAATATATTATTTATAATAAACTGTATTTGCTCTTTCATTTTTTTTTTTAGAAACTAATAATATATGCATGTCTTTCAACAACACGTGATTATTTCATTCACGCAGTTTTAAACCATTTACATGATAACTAACTTGTTTTTCTGAATTTCGTAGTTTACATTACATACTCAAGAACATTGGGAAACTATTTTATCTTACTCTATGATCGCTCAGCTGGATCAATCCATGTAATCAGCAAAATGGTTGTACCGAGGATTTCCATTACATGGTGACAAGTGCTTAACATTTTGTATACTCATTAGGCATCTACCGGTGTACATAACAAACCACAGTAAATTCGGAACATTGTGCAGTAATCACCCAGCTTGGTAGGTAGATCAGCATCTCGCTCTTGAAATTATATGTAGCTAAATTTTATTTAGACTTTGTCATGAACTTACTTAAACTGAAGACCGACACAGTGTGAGAAACTGTTTCATCATAGTTCAGTTTGAAAGTTACTAGAAAATAGAGTCAAATATTTCTTCTATCGCATAATTAAAAAGTGTGAATCTGAAATTTACCAGTCCATATACACCAAACTACAGTTTTTCCTAGGTTTCAAAAATTATCTAAGAGATTTTAGTAAGTCATAAAGTTTTGTTTCTTTGAATTAAACAAACATTTTACAAACTATTGGTGCAAATAAAATGCCAACATTTTATTAATATTCAGTGTGTTTAAAAAAAAATTATTGAAAAAAAATATATATCGTTTTCAATAATATAAACGTAATTACATACACTTTAAATGAAGTGAAAACATTTAAAATGACATTAGACAATACACAACAATCCAATTTTAATCGTGGTAGTTTTTTCTTTTTGTTAAAACAAGTTGTCTACAATTTATGAATTATCTTAACAAAAATTTGAGATCTACAGGGATAAATTATAGGAAATTAGAAAAAAGAGAAGAAAAGAGGGAAAATAAATTAACCAACTGATAATATTTGTGTGACCGAATGTGAATTAATTGATCATATCCGACATATTGAAGTTGCACACACACACACACACACACACGTTTCATCAGATAATACAAAGTGATCAACTTAGTGCACTTAGATGCTAGTGAGTTTGGTTGTTTCCACTGATATCAAAAGTCAGTAGGATGATCAACAGTGACTGATGAAAACAGTGCACTTAAACAATGACCCTTGAATACTCAAATCAGTTATAGTGTTATATAGCTCTTTGTTTCTTTTACAATTGACATCCATCCATCCGTTAGATGCAAACTTTTATTTTACAATGATATATTCTTATTTACTGAAATGGTATGGAGATGTTGATTAAGCTTGCAAAGATAGTAAAATGAAAAGGTATTTTTCTTTTTAACGAAAAAGAAAACTGATATAAAATCTAAGCAAGTTAGTTGTCATACAATTACACAATAGTACAAATCAATTTTACAAATTAATCATTTCAAAAGCATGATTATGATTATCTTTGGATACATCATTAATATCACCTTGTGCAACATAAACTGCATGTGTTCTATCTTGATGATAAGCGTTTATTTCATCGGAATTATATGATTCATGAACAATTGTTTGAGCTGGCATATAATAATAAGCGCCTGCTGATGATAATGATGATGTTGGCCGATAACCATGTAAACTATAAACCGATTCATTTAAATCATCACAATGATTTGTAAACTTATCAAAACTAGCTTCATTATTATTTCTGATTGGATTTGATGAATAAGCAATGGTTTGTCGTTTATTTTCTTCTGAATCACTAACACTACCACCATTTGTATATTGTCTATAATTGGAATGTACTCGTCTTTGTGGTAGTTCTACTCTTTTTGATCGTCGTCTTATCAAGCTTGCTAAACGATTACGTTTATGAATGCAGAAATCTGCTTCAGTCCATCCAGCCTATTTTAAGGAGAAATATAAAATGAAAATAAATGATTCAGTTAAAGAAAAAACAAATAACCCATAATAAATTTGTTATAATAATATTTAAAGTTGAACAAGCATGTTCAATTATCAATTTCAATCGTTAACTTCATAAAGCGTATGAATTGATGTTGGTCTATTTTTTTATTTAAGCTTGTATTTTTTACTCAGTAATACTTAAATGACGAGTAAGCTGTAGTCAAGCGTATGAATTACGTTCAGTTCAACATTATTGACAAATACATTTGCATTGGTCAAATCCCAAAACACCATCATAAATTTATTACAGCTTAATTTAGTTTTCAAAGTTAAAAATTCCTGAATGTATCATGTTCTTTATTATAGTCAATGTTAATTCCACCATTATTCAAGCAGGTTGACTTGAATCACTGTGCCATAATGTCATTTTTATCATTCATTCATTCATCTCATTCTTTTTCAGATCAGTGTGTATGTTTGATTTAGAAAAATCTCAATATCTTTGTTTTTTTTTTTTCATGTTATCTAAATTCCTGTGGTTGATGAGTTGGTCAAAAGTTTTGTGATGATGTATTCAGTAGAGTTATTTTTAGGGATATAATTTATTCAGTATTCATCGATTTTCAAAAAAAAAATGAGACATAATCAAGACATTTTTAACAAGAAGAGCTAACTAATGTTTTAACTCTGTACTAAGCTAAATGAACTAAAAAAACACAAAGTATTCCAAACACTTGCATATAATTACGGACTTCTATACTGTTCATATTTACTTAGCAAAATCAGTGAGTTTGTTTCTGGTTACAGATTGACATTAAGTCATGCACTGACTAAAATGTCTAACTAAGATTTGATACGCTCGTCAGTTGATATGCTTGAACTATTATGAGTTCACCTCATTCGGTAAACGGAACGAAGAACAATGAATCACTGACACGATAGGCTATTCTTATCCGATTGTCCGAGGCCCAGCTAATAAAAGCAAGAAATCTTAATAAGGAGTAGAGAATGTATTCTACAAGCACCCAGAAAATACGAGGAGTCTAAAGACACAAATCAAACTTATTTATACAATGATAGAGACTCCTGTGAGAGAGCCACAAAACAACATACTAAAATAGTCCATCAACCAATGACAGTCAAGGATTTTCCGAGATAGAAATGTGAGCTGAAGGTCAACTGGCACGAAAACATGTAAATTCAAAATTTCAGAATAAAATTACAAAATTACGACCTTTCCAAATGAGTTTTGGGGATCTGGCCTCGCCAACAGATCTACTTTCATAGTTTTGTTTCATATCTGCCGAATTGATCTTTTTGTTAAAACAATATTCCGTATTCAATATGGAAGACGTATGTTTAATTTTAGTAAAAGACGATGTTTTTTCATCACATTTAATAGAATTTTGTAGAAAATAAATGATAAATAATGAAACTGTGATATGGAAGTTTCCAAAAAATTTATATTTCTTATTTTTTCTAAATTGAACAGTGATAGGTTGATAATTATAACCATGGGACTTATGATAAATAGTTTTGTAAAATACAAATACTCGATTGTTTTTTGATGATGCCAACCAGTAATACCAAACACACACACACATTTCATGATATTTGAGATGATTGAACTGAAAGTAAATAAAGTCAACAGTTAATCTTTCTATCAAAACTTTACCTTAGTATTGATCACTTGAAATTTTCGACATTTAATTTACCTACTACTATTCACCAAAAATTTAAAAAATGGATTTAATAAATGTGTGCTTATCATCAATGTTTAGGCATTCACTTAAAACCAATGCAACAAATAGTAATTGTAAACTTGAAATAAATTACTAACTGTATTGTCAGTTACAATAATTGTAATACTAACTGACTTTATTTCGTTTTATGAAATATTTTACTTTTTTGTGACAAGCTAATTTTTTTTAAGTTATTTATTACTTCCATTATGAAATGGATTGGCTGAATATGGGTTAATTTAACTTTGTTTTCAGTAAGTAAGCAGTGTATTTATAATTGTTCTTGTGTTAAAATTTTATCTTCTTTATGAAAACAAACATTTTTGCCAACCTGTTCGAAACAATAACCTATTGCTAACTTTCCAACTGTTTCTTCTCACGATTCGATTAGATTTGTATTTTAAGTATTCAACTAATACTATTATCTCTTAATTATAAAATATAAAGAAAAGTAGGAGTCACACGAAATTGAGCAGTGACAGGTCTGTGATGCCCTTAGATGTTCGAGGTCCAAAATGTGCTACAAGGACGGTGCCAGCCAGTCTGGAAACCTGCCCTAAAAAAGTTGGACAAACTATTTCATCACTTTTGTGACTGAGATTGGGACCTGCAATTATTCTTCATGAACGAGGAACTCCTGATAGGTGCTGGTCATAGGCATACGCTGATTACGATGCTTCAAAATAATATTTGTCCTTGTGGTATAACGGTTAGCACTCTAGACTTTGAATTCTAGCAACCCGAATATTCTTAATCCCGCTTAGGGCCCTCTGGGGCGACTTCCGGTCATAGGATCGGACAAAGGAGGAGAGTTGGGTATGGGGATAACGACCCCATCCCATTTAAGACTAACTCGCTAAAAAATCGCTAACAATAAAAAATAATGCACACCATTTAAACTCTGCCCTAGAAGTCAGAAGGTCTTCATTAGGAAGAGTTATGAAGTCTCATGATGAAAGCCGAGTTCACGAGGGTAATGCCTCTTCTCACAATCACAACAACAATTAATACAGGTACATTGAATATTCGTACAATGTGAGAGACCGGTAGAAGCATCCAGAATGCTACAGAAAATAAAAGATGCAACCTGGAGGTGCTTGAAATCAGTGAAACATGTTGGATGCAGGTTGGACAACTAAGACTAGCTTTGGGAGAGCCATTTTTGTACTCCGACAATGAAAGAGAAAACGTTTCACATTCACAAATAGTTGCACTGATGCTATCCTATTTATGGCGAGAATAAGAGAAGGTAGGATGGAAATAACATACAACTCCGATTGATTTTTTACTAGACAAAATAAGGCCTTAAAAGTAATCAGAAATACATTTCATAAAACAACCTAATAATATTACTAAAACAGTAACAAATAAAAAGAGATTATCTTTGTTATTCTTTCATTTTTTTCGATCTAAATAAATGAGTTACTGAAAAAAAAATGATACATTCACTACAGTAACTAGTTACATTTTCTAGTTTGAAAAGGAAAAATAATTAATTGTGACATTATTATCATTATTATTACTTGTCTTTGTTAATTGAAATACAAACTGTAGGCCTTGGAAATAGGAATGATTAATTTGTTTTTGTATTGACGGAGCAGTACACTAGAGGCCTATAGATCAACGACTACATATATATGTATATATATTTACAGAAAAACTGATGAGCTTTGTCGGTTAATCTTCAATAGTAATGTATTATTTACAGCCCACACAGCATCAATACCTATACTACCATTGAATTGAAAAATCATAAACCATAAACCGTGTAAACAATTCAATGAATTTAATCGCCCATTACAATAATAACAATGATAAAACTTGGTATTCACTTATTTCTCTACTTGTCATCAATGTAGTTATTTGGTTAAATAACAAATAAATAAATGCGACATAACCGATTCACGCTAATAATTTGCAGTTTCGTTCATACTCAACCATCATCATGCTATCATTATATTTTATGCTTTTAGACAAAAAACATTTTACAGAAAAAAAATCAAACATTTTATGAAACGCATAACATAAATGAGAAATATTTAATTTTATTGGTTTGAAATAATAAAATAAGCTTAACAATCAACTGAGCATATAAATAAGTATGAATGGAGACAAAAGATTTTATCTATACTGCTTGTTGTCTTTCGGTAACAATGCATTTTTGAAGTATCTCAGAAATTCGACATAAATACAAAGTTTTAAATAGTTGCATTTTAGTTATCAACAGTGGTTTGATTTATTTAAAAATAATTAGCTTGAAAATATTAAGTAGAAAAATTATTTCAGTTCAGTGGCTTGTTGTGAAGATTCCATGTTCCTAATTCACTCGTTTACAGAACCGAAGGAGTACATGATCAAAACAAAGGTGCAAACAACGACAGTGTCAAGGTCAGCAGCAACCAATCAAGATCGATGTTAGCAGAACAAGCTACAGGTCAAACGTGGAGAAATTCGAATACTTCACTTCCATCTGAAGTTTGTGTTGATGGTGTTGTTCAGAAGAACAATGAAAGCTTCACAACCCAGGCATCCAGCTCAGAGAACGAAACACCCACACAATCATCCACCTGAGCTACAAATTTTCTCCACCATCTCAGAACCAAAGATTAGATTCAAAAACATTTAAAATCGGTATTAATATGTAATACAGTAGAAATCACTGGCATTCGAACATAAACACTTTTATTTCAGGTGATTATCAAAATAAAAATTGCACAACATGCCTCAGGAGTGAGTATGAATACTTCGACTACTGCGCTACTGATCATTCAAATTTGCGCTACTTCCACTGTTTAATTGTTTATTGTTAATCATACTGGTTTATTTTAAAATTTTTGTGCGTTTACGGCAAACATACTTTACTTTAACTACAGAAACTTGATAATGCAAATACAAGTACAATAATAAACATTATTTCAATTATTTTTATTCATGAATCAACTGATGTCAATATAAACAAACATTTCAAGCATTAACAATCAACTCAGAACATCAAGTCACATTAAATTGTGAATTATATAACAGATAAAATAAGGTGAGAGCACAGTTTCTGGTGATAATTGAAAAGAAAGGAATATTTTATCTTTCTCATTTATCCAAATCAAATCAAGGGAAACATCTACATCGAGGCAGTCCGCACAGCCAACAAATTACTGGTTAAATTTCAGCCTTGAATACCAACAACGATATATCTCACAGTTTCATTCATAAAGATATGAATATCATATAAATTTAACTAGTTGGTGCTTGTTCTGA